GGCAGGGCTCTGATTTCAACCAACAAGGATAGTGGGTCAAAAGGGGCAGCCTTTGTGATGAGCCCGACAAGAACCCCTGTCAGGAGCTCAAGGGGTTCTGCCATAAAACTCATGACCCCGCTGTCACCACTAGCAAGCCACAGGCTGACATCAAACCAACACAAGAATGAATAGAGGAGCCGTCTGTGCTGTAATGCCCTTGTCCACCTCAGAAACAGGGGCACACGGAGAACTGTTGAACCCACTGTGAACTGTGAACCCACAACTTTTTACTTGCTGGTTTTAATATACATTAAACCAGGTGAAACTGGTCTGCACTATTGGGGTTCTCACTGTCGTCACAGGTTCCCAATGACTCTCTTTTTTTTCTTAAACATAAAAAAAGAGTAGATGGAGTAGATGATCATAGCAAGCTTTTATCAACAAAATGAGTCTTTGTGACGAAGACCTTTAAAATGAAAAGTATTTTTTTCAATTGACAAAACAGCAACAATTTATACTCAATGGCAAAAGTATTTGTAAATCACCATTCCTTTCGTTGGAATTCTGTGCTTACAGTGTGAGGTAAACATCAGAAGATACTGACTTATGCCTGAGAGCTATAATGAAGGGCAAAAAACACACCAAAAAACAACACAAATGACTGAAACGTAAAGCACCGCATGATGGCGTATCACTTTCGAACTATGCATGATGGTGACCACGAAACGCCTAAGGTTGAGAATGCCATAAACCGAGGACCAGAGCTCCCTGATCCTGATAGAGGAGATCCAGAAAAGATGGCTGTAGTTAAACTGGGTGAATACAGTTGCCACAGTGAGCATTCGATGCTCACAACTTGGTTCCATCATGTTAGAAGTTAAAAGGCGACAGATATTTGTGTTTTGCAAATTTAACACCAAAACATAGAGGGTAGCCGATGCTCACAACTTGGTTCCATCATGTAGTCTAAAAGTCGCACTGGCAGCTGTTTCGTAAACTGCTTGTTGTTCAACTTCTCCAGTGTGTAAAGACCGTACCTGTGGCTATCACTGCTACACTGCAGATGTGAATCCACACATTACCACTGCAAACTCTTGACTCATAAAACAGTTTATAGATACAAAGTCAGGAGATGCATTAAAAAAAAAGCCTCTCGGCATTTTCTCATACTGCTTAGATTCATAAGAATCTTATTCGTTCAAGTTTGTCTGTGAATTCATTCCAAATCTGCATTCCAAGAATATAATTTTGAAGTGTGAAAACAAGCCTGACGTGCTGTAGTTGAATGAATGGATGGACTGAGCTGGTTACCTGAAACTCAATTCCCACATAGAATTTCAAATCAAGATAAACTCAAACATTTTGATAATCAACCACACCATACCTTTGGCTTTTATTTAAACAAATCCTTAACCATGGCTTTTGCAACACTGTACAACTTTTTTAAATCACCCCATGAGCAACAAATGCATTTGTTTAATGGACATATACAAAACGTATAGTCTCACCACATAATATCATCTTTGCAATAATATTTGCACCAGAGTGCAATAGTCCCATCAAGCAACAGCTTTTCTGATTAGCAGCTGGTCACAGTACCCACTGGATTCTGAATGACATAATGTAAGGTTGTTGTGTTAGCATCCGTTAAGACTGTGCATCAGCCTCTAGTGTGCTCTAAAGGCCCCTAGTCATCCCTAGTCGCCCTTTTCTACGGATTCCTGGATTTTAATTTGTTAAACTGAAGACTCTGACCCTCAAACCTTTGCTACCCTAAGAATATTTAGTTAGCACACATATGCCTGAATAGGTGGCATTTCAGCAGGCTAACAGAAGTGTAGGGCAGACATGATTGGCTGGGGGCCAACTCCCCATGGCAACCCTGAAGCAGCTACTGCTTCTTTCCTGTGCTGAACCGACTGGGACAAACTACCTCTGCTCTGCATGCACAGGGGAACATTAAAAGGACAGATGACACAAGACAAGTTAGGGTAGTAATATCATGGTGTCTTACAAACATCTAAATCAAATACTCAATGCAAGCCACATATAAACCGGAGAGTGTGTGTACACATTAAAATCAAGAATAAAATAGTTTCATTATGAGAATGCAAGCATTAGAACTTTGATTTTACAAGGTTCCTGTTGGGAAATGATTGGAATATTTAACCAAATACTTTATTTTAGGAAGGTCTGCAATGTAATTTTAAAAGTTATTTAATACAAAGGTATGTAGTTATGTCAGTATATGTACATTATAAACATTGGTGTGCAGAACTAAGGCTTTATATTTTAATTTAGCTGTTATTTGTAAAATGTTTTGGTTGAGCAAGTAATTGTGGCTTTGGTGTTTATAGTTTTTCCAAGTTCCACTTTAAGTTGTTAAGTGGCCCCAAAATGGTTGAAAACATGTTTTTTTTATTTTCACACAATGTACAACAAACAAGTTTTGTTTCATACTTTGTTTAAAAAGATTACCACTAAAACAAGTGGAGATTTGGATCCTGAAGTCATATTAAATATACAGTATGTATTGGTTACATAGCACTGCCAGATACTATTGGTGACTCTGCAGTAACAGATTCAGAACTAATGATGAAACCATCAAAGTGTTTACAGCTTCACCAGGTACGGTTTGTAACCAAGAGGGCAATATCAAGCAATGCAAAGCAACTACCAAAATGTTGTCAGCATTGAAATGCTGTAACCTAATTGAAAAGCCAAAGAGATCACCTGATTGGCTACTTCAGTGAACTTTGTGGTGAATCTGCTGGGCACTCTACTAGCCTTTCATGTTGAACTCTCCTAAACAAAGGACTCACAGCTTGAATCTAAGAAACAATGCATTTGCTAATTACCTCTGCTGCTTCAAGGGTATAAATAACAACAATAATACACTTTAATAGCCGACAATTAAACGCTATTTGTTTTAGTTTGCAAATTAGGTTTAAGTACATACAAATATTTTAATGTAACTTTTAGTTACATCTTGAAGGATTTGTTATGGGACTCGAACTTTTTGTGGTCTTTCTTTTCCATGATGTTTTTACTATTTCATTCGTATATAAACATATCAACAACAATTTACCCAGTGTGGGACCAATCTAATCTAACCAGAGTCTTCATATACTGTGTGCTCGTGGTTTAAAAACACATATCTTCTCAGGTACTCTATTCAATGTTGCACGTGGGGGGTTGTTTGTAACTGGTTTGAAACAAAACACATAACATAATAAATGGGAATGCTGCTGAAGTACAACTGGGGTCATTGTGCTGCGATTTTCCAAAAGTTCACCATAGATTTCTGGTGTTTCCTTCACGGTAATTTCGAGCAGAGTTCGGGGTATTTCTGAAGCATTTACCCCTAAAATCAATCAATTTGTTCCTAAAAGTAATTTGTTGATAAACAGCCTTGGCTTACACCCACAGTAGGTCATACTTTAGTTTTCCCCTCATGCACTCATCTCAGGCTATGACTCATACATGCAGGTACAGATGAAGTGCAGTTAATATTTTCTTCATGCTGCTGAAACCCAGCTCTGCTTACCTTTCACTTGGCTCTCGTACTCCGCGATGATTTCCTTGTCCTTTTTGAACCTCGGCGTGGACATTTTATGTCTTGTCGTCTCCGCAGGTTGTTGTAAACTTTTTGTGAAAACTGTTTGTCAACAAGCGATACCCTACAACAGCCAACACATCCCGCACTAAGCGGTAGAAAACGAAAAGCGACGCCAAAAACGACTCATGGAAGCGACTCAACTCTGCAACAAGACCGTTTCTGAAGCCGAGGGGAACCGTTTAGTCCTTCATTGTTCCTCTTCCCTGAGGATCAGCAGTGGGAACACAGTGAGGCCAATGCGCAATCCTGCTCTAACCAATGAATCCACTCAACTCACTGAGCAACAGCTCTGCTGCTGCTACAACAGGGGAGAGGGGGTGAGTGTTGTAAGTTCTAGAGAACGTTTTCTTTTTTCCCAAAAAACGGCATCAACGCTGTTCTGCCTGAGTGTAGATTTCGTATGTTTCCTGCGTAGAATCCTCTCCCCTTTTCTCCAACTCACGCTAGCTGACTGCCAGTGACTGTCTGTCGCTCGACCGTCTCTCCTTCTCCCTCACTATCGCCACCAACAACTCCACTCCCAGCAGGATCACAGTAGAGACAGGGCAGTCCGACTGCTGCACGCACGCACGCACGAACATGCGCGCGAGCGTACACACAGAGTTAACCAGACCTAGACAGTAAGGTCACGTACATTTTCTTTTTACATCCACTGTCGTTGCAACACCGCACTAACTTTCATTCATTTAGCTCATGGTTGCAAAATTAAGGTACACAAACCACTGCTGGTACTCGTGCTCCCTCTATAGGTTTCTGGGGGAAAAATTCGAATTAAATTTAATATTTAGGATTTTTATTGTCATTAACAGTGTTACAAAACAAACAAAACAATAATAGCAATGACCTTTTTCACAGTGTCATCAAATGTTATTATATCATCAACACACAACAAAACACGAATGGAGTGAAATATGATAAAGTAGATTAAAATTATGCAAAGTGATCAAGAGGGTAATGAAAAGGGAGGGTAAGTTCACAAGTGATTGAAATAAATATGATTAAGCACCATCTTTATTTGTACAACTATCAGCTGTAGTGCTACTTTGTTGCATGTTGCAGCTTTGGCTGATTCATGGGCTAATTATCTAAGGGATTAAATAAATTATCATCTTCATAAACTGTACTTAGTTGGAGAATCGGCCTGGAAAAATTAACTGAAAACTTCACTACAGCGTCAAAGTAATGAAACAAATTCAGACGTGGCCCCTGGAAGGGAAGTATCTATTTAGTTTCATTATTGTAATTACATATTTTCTGGGGGCATTGCAAAATTCAATGTACAGTACTCTATTTTATTTGAAAAATGTTGGTCTTGTGGCCAATGATAGGTACTAAAGGCTGGTCCATACTGACATCTGCAGGAGAAAGTAAGCTCAGGGCAGTCATTTCCACAGACATGGCCACAACACTCCATCCTACTTTATTGCACATAAGGAAAGATACATGCAACACACCACTGAAATTTGCCATCTTTACCACAGAGGTGACTCATGCCACACAAACAACTACCATTTTCTACCAACTCACAATACAAAATAGATTCATGTACATTTTTTAAATAAAATTCAAAAACATTTTCTAGAATATAAATTTTTCCTCAAAAACCACAATACTAGGTTCATACAAACAGAGATAAAAAAACATAGTTTGAATACTGCAGAGAATTTAAAAATCAAAGACAGCTCATTTATCGTGATCTTTAAATGCCCAGTCACAAATGTAAACATTTAAATAAATATAAAGTAATGCATTTCTGTCAGCTTTGAAATATTACCACATATAAAACTGAATAATATCCTGAACAGTTATTACACTGTACATCACATATCAGTAGTACATCACATTTCTCTGTAACAAAGAAACTAATCAACCATTAAGTGTTTTCTTAAAAAGAATATTTGTTTTCAGTTCTACTTTCAGATATTTTTGAAGAAAGTTTCCTCAATGACCTCCGTAAACCTCTCTTTCATCTGTTGCCTAAATGTGGCGTACCACTCTAACAGCCTCCTCCTCCTGTTCATTTTCTGCTCCTGGTTCATGGTCTTCTCTCTCTCTAGGATGGCGGGCAGTTCTTTCCAATCAGTAATGAAGATGAATGGTGCTCCTGCAGTTTTGAGCAGACGTAGTGGAGAGCTGGGCCCAGATGCACACATTCCAGGTGTCATCACATCTTCCACAACAGGCACTGAGCCATAAGAGCAGGCTTCATAGATACGGTAGCACTCTGTATTGATTCCAGCGGGGCAGAGAGTGAGCTCACTCTGGGCCAGAGCTGTCTGATAGCGTTTCAGACTGTCTGCTGTCTCCTGAGGAAGCCAGCTGAGGAAACATGATATATGAGGAATACACTAGATACAGTAGGTAATGTATTTTTTTTTGTCCTCTGCGACAATGGCATGTAACAAGTTTGGACTTCTTGTTTTAATTCAAAAGTTAAAATTACATTAAAATGAGGAGAGGCATTGGCATTAAATCCTCAAAAACTCTACTGAATCCGTCTTACAAACGTGATATGCGCAAAGACTAAAGTAAAAGACTAAAATATGTAAATGAATTAGCTGATGTAGCTTATGCTTGTGTAAGGCTCAAATGAATTTGGATTTTTTGTTGTTGTTGATTATTTGTCTTTATCTTATTTCTCTGGTGCAGCCCAGCAAAACATATATTTAACAACACATGAACTTAAATTCTTTTCTAGTATCTCAGGGTCTTGATGCATATTCCCTCTCATTGTATTGTGTACAAGTACATTTCTTAATCTACACCATTTATTTTCTTAATTAAATTAGAGATGGATTTAACAAAAGGGCTTCAGAGTGGTGACTTACTTCTCTCTGGCACTGGTGATACACTCCTTTTCCAGGCCTGACTGTTGTAGAACCTGCATCAGCGTTTCTCTGGATGAATTTTTGTACACAGTCCCTAGGAAATTACAGAGGTATGGTCTGCTGGAGGTAATCAGTTGTGCATTAGGTCTGATCATAGGGAACTGCCTGTACCTGCACAAAGAAAACCAAAAGAACATACTGTATCAACAAGGTAAAATCGACACAATTAATGTGTTAATGCTTGTCATCAATTAGGCCTACACATTCCAAAACACATGAAACAACTACAATGTGACTTACGTAGCAACACCGAGAGGCCACTGGAAGACATCTTTGTCATTTACCCAGGGGCTGTCATAGACTACAAAAAGAAGATCCACAAATCCACCATTTCTCTTCAGGTATGGGCCAATCCAGTCATTGTTGCAATGCTCATTGCCAAGCAGGACCACAGCTACATGTGATACAGTACGGGATTGCACCAGAGCTTGAACATGCTCCAACCAGCGTGTGGAGTAAGAGACTTTTTGCTGTTCGCGGCCATTCAGAACCACAACAAGACTGTTCATATCCAGTGGGACATGACCTTGGACAACTGCTGGACCTGTGTAGAAACTATTAACAAGACAACATACGTCTACTTTTATTACAGGTTTTTAATTTGAGTGGTCTGTGTAGTTGACTAGATTAATACATATCTGAATTTGGCAAAGTTTGTTAACAAACTACATTGATGATTTATTACCTGAAATCGACTTTTCCTGACTGTAGCTCTCCCTCTCTCCATTGTGCTACTTTGTCAGTGGGGTTAAGAGGTCCTTCTAAAATATGTTCCCAAAGATAAAGCCCTGAGAAAGATGGGAAAATCGTATTGAATTATAAGGGGAAAAGTTCAAACATTTTTCGTTAAGATACACAAATACACACTAATTATTCATGTTTTAGTCACTTTTAAATGCAAGTGTTTTTGCTGAGCGACTGGAGCAAAGTGAAGTATTCAGGAGAATACAAAACAGGCAAGGTGATTGTGAAACAATTTTAAACCTCTTTAAATATAATTATTAAATGTTGCTTAATGTATTTTTATTGCTGTTAATATGCTAAATACCTTTGATATGATCATAGGTTACCTTCAAACAATTCGGTTATTTCTTTTGTAATTAGGGGAATATGTTGATAAAAATGTTCAATATAAAGTAACAGAATTTTGATCTATCTAAAATTATTGTGCAATAACGTAAATAAAACCTACCTATGGCGGCCTTTCCCCAGACCTGGACCTTGTATCTTTTGGGTTTATTCCTATCGATTCGATGTAGATGTTTTTTAAAGGCCTCTCTCTTCTTGTTCAGGGCAGAGTTGTACTCCACCTCTTCATCCTCCCACGGATTCCACGCATCAGCTAATGGGGCGACTGCACCACTGTCCCTGGCAACACCTGCAACCACAATACATTACTGCTACCAAGTACTGAAGTAATTAGTATTTATTTATATGTCGGTGAGAAAATGTACCCGCTGGTGACTCTTTCTTTGTCACCCTGTGAACGCGTGAAATTACTTTATTACTAAAGAAGACATTATACGCTGCATATAGTGAAAATAACACATAAGCAAAAATTATAAAAAGGAATAGTTTTCTTTTTGGTATTTTCATTGTTCTTTTCCCCCTTTCATTCTCATGTCACCATTGTGTAGTTCGTCTTCGTTTTTGTGGTTACACTTGTTTACATCGCCAGGACCAGTGGATGCAGCTGACTTAAATAAATGCCAGTACACAATTTAAATTGAATCAAATTATATGTTAAACATATATCATTTTGGTTTATAAAACAGATTATATTGTGATGTACACCAATTTTTCTGTGTTTTATATTATTTAAACAATATATTGAGAGATATATTTATTTGATAAATCAATGGCAAACTACGGGGCACGTTGTTCAGGCCTCGCTGAAAGCGGAACATTATGAGAGCGGAGCTTGTTGTTTCCAGTAAGACAGGTCGGAGTGGGACACATTACTTCCGTGTACACAAGGTCGTGTCTCCCGACTGTGGGGTAAAAAGCTTTTATTTTACACAAAAAAATATGTCTGCAGTCATTCGTGCCCTCGTGACCCTGTTCTTACAGGCACCAAAACATGCAGTTAAAAGTCTGGGTTTTGTTGGATCAAATGAGCTGGGGGTTGCCGCTGGTAAGTACGAATGTAGATTGGTCTGAATTAACCTCATCCTGAAATAGTGATCTGTATGGCTATAGAACATTATAAACGGAATCCATATACTGTATATACAGTATATATATATAGATAGATAGTATTTTATTACTGGACAGTAACACTTTTAAAAAGATACCACAAATGTGAACGTTACAATTGTGTTGCAAGTTAAAGAAAAAAATGAGTAGTTATAGTTATAAAAAAAAATTAGGGTAGATCGTTATGATGTGGTAGTTAGTGCAGTCGTCTAATTCAAAGACGACTGCACTAACTACCACATCATAACGATCTATCCACAATTATTTTCCGAATTAGATTGAATGTATGTCAGTCCTTATTTCTGATTATGGATCTTAAAAAACTAGAGTCACAACTTGGTAAGTGTAATAATATGGAAGAAAAGAGGTCCATCCATCCATTATCCGTTAACAAGTCAAAGGGGCAGCAGTCTCCATGACCGCTACCCAAATCACACTGCACCATACCAACCCCCCTGAATCTTCCTGTGGGTGGACTGGGTGGTGAGTCCACTGGAAGGTACCAGCTGCCCTAACCTGGATTCGAACTTGCCCAGGAGGTGAACCCTGGGGTTCCACACCAATGACAGAGACATTGCCTCTGGGCCAAAGTGCCACAAACAAAAGAGGTGTTAGTTATAAAACTGAATTACAAACACTCCAATACAATTGTTATAAATCTGTATAAATGCATCTCTAATGTATTTTGCATCCTGTGTCTTAATTTCAGCTCCAGCAGGGGTCCGGCTAGCCCATTCAGATGCCAGACTTTTCTGACTACCGCCGACAGAATGTTTTGGATTCTAATAAGTCATCCCAGGACAGCAATGAGGGCAGACGGGCATTTTCCTACCTTGTTACTGGTGCAACCACTGTGATCGGTGTCTACTCAGCCAAGACAGTAAAAACAAACAAAAAACTGGGTAGTCACCCAGTTCATCTCATGAGTGCATCAGCCGATGTCCTGGCCTTATCCAAGATTGAGATCAAGCTGAGTGACATCCCACAAGGCAAAAACATGACCTTTAAGTGGAGAGGAAAGCCCCTGTTTGTTCGACATCACACAGAAAAGGAAATTGCCACAGAAGCAGATGTAAATATTGCAGAGCTGCACGACCCCCAGCATGATAAAGATAGAGTGATTAACCCAAGCTGGGTCATTGTCCTCGGTGTGTGCACTCATTTGGGCTGTGTTCCCATTGCCAATGCCGGGGAATATGGTGGTTACTACTGTCCTTGCCATGGCTCCCACTATGATGCCTCAGGTAGAATAAGAAAGGGACCTGCTCCTCTGAACTTGGAGGTTCCCTACTATGAATTTCCAGATGATGATACGGTTGTGGTTGGATAAATGCTGGCACTCTGTCAGATTCCCCTTTGTAATTTGTATGTACAGATCACATTGGGGGCATCAAAATGTATATTTAAAATAAAATTCCAACAGATTTCTGGCCAGATTTTTTTTTCATGTAATGTGACAATGAAATGCATTTATTTAACACTTATCTTAGTCCCACCATCTTACAGCCCTAGTATTTTACTGATACATTTTTATACAGAGAACAATAGACACAAATGTACCAAATTATTACATTTTCCATTTAATTTGTGGCAATTTGATGTAATTGGCATGCATTATACACATGTATGTGTACTTTATCCCTCCCTAAATTGTATCTAGTAACCATATGTACATAAAATCAATAATACAAATTATACATATTTACTGCTTTACATGATAACCACTTTTTAACTTAGTACCCTTGTTTAAGGTCAGACTGCTGTCATTTAAAAAAAGTGAACCTTAGGTCTTACATGGGTCAACATTTTTATAATATGGCTGGATAAAGAATGAAGTCCATACCAATCCAGGATGCTCTCAATACCTCGTAGGAAGGCAGAACAGTTTCTCAGATCCAATGGTCCAGTGATCTGCATGTTAAATGGCCAGTGTAGAGCAGAGCTGATGAGCAGCAGAATGCACAAGGCCCACCACCATGTTCACCTCCTGACAACCAGGACGCCAGAGCTGCTAAAGGCCATTCCCATTAGAATGGCGAACAGTGACAGACGCTCTGTGTTGGAGTTTGGTGCTGCAACTATTACATTAGACTAGTCATATTTAAAATAAATAAATAAAAGGCCATTATTCATCCCATAATGTGAGTCTTTGCAAGGCTGCCATAGGAGGCCCTAGTATGTATGTGGTTCCACTGGGGCCCGAACCCAGGACCATAAGCAGATGTGCAAGTAGGCCTGTGATGATAACACATTTTGCTGCACAATATATAGTTTTTTTTTCTCCAGCAGTGCCCATGGACTCAATTCCAAGCACAGTTTGGAATTAATAATTGCACAGTGGAGGGAAATCACATTTTTAGCAAAAGGGAACCATTTGTAAAAAAATGTTCCTGTATTATAATTTTATCTTAAATAAAATTATTACAACTTTGCAGCACTGTTGTTGATTCCATATCAGACATGACCCACTGCTGTTTTTTCCAGTCGGTGTCCATACAAGCTCAACAAGTCAATTTGCTATTTATGTAGATTTGGTTTGATTCAAGTCTATATAGTGTATTACAGCAAAGATAAGTGGAAGGCTAATGGAAGTCAAAAGGTCTATGACATTAAGTCTATGGTTCTTAAACTTGTTTACTATCAGCTTTAGTAAAACTTCTTGACTAGCTCTATAGAAAAACGGCATTGTCAGAGCAGCGGCATGTAGAAAATGGATATTAAATTACACTCACAGTAAAAAAAACAAAACAAACCAAAACACATCAACTTGTTTAAGTGGTTGTAAACCTTTGAAAAAGATTATAGGACAAGGTCTAACCAGACAGGCCTCTTCTTTTAATTAATTTACCTTGATAAGATAACCCAGACTTGTGCTAACAAGGTTAGCTTTTCTCCAGGGCAGTAATTCCACAGCAAATTCTCAAGTCCACATTATTTCCAAAAGGCTCACCTTCCAGCACATCCACCTTAATCCACATAATGTACCTGAGCCTGGAGTTCTTTGGTAACATACCCCAACAGAGCAGAGGTTACCTGCTGCTTCAGGGCAGCATTACCCATCACCAAAGCTGAAAGCTGGACCAAATCTATCCACTGGATATCTCCCAGGACAACCATGACATCTTCATAAAGCTTCTGTTGCTGCTGAGGGCTGAGCTCCATTAGGATTTGAGGCAGTGGTTTAAACTGACCACTGGTCAGCCAGCAGCCCAAAAGTCCTCCAACAGCCCCGCCTGGGGGAAGACGGTTACAATGTTAGGAAATGACATAACATTTGATTACTTCATTAGTCCCATGACCATTGGACTATTTTGATAAAGGCAAACAAGTATAAATAGTATTGGCTAGCTAACTATACAAGTCTTCATGACCAAGTAAGTTGGGGGAGCTGTGGTTAATTTTTTGAATGCCCACTTACCTACTGCGATGCCCAGAGGCCCACCAAACACACCCCCTGCAAAGGCCAGTCCTCCAGCGGCTGCTGCCCCCTTCCCCGAGTTTTTAACAGTAGTCTGGATTTGCTGATTGGCAGATAACTCGCAACACAGTTTCATGACATCGTTAATCCGTTGACTCATGCTAAACAAAAGATTAGAAGAAATTAGAAGATTAAAAGAAGAAAACAGTTTAAGGGACAGAAAATCTGTATAAGACAAATCAGTGTATTATTTCCCAAATAATGTATCAGTTATAAGCAAATGAATAGTAAAACTACAGTCTAACATTGTTATAATGATAGATAGAAAAATACGTTAATATTATTAATTAACACCAACTTTGTTTTTTTTAATGTCACAAAAATAAATATTGTATTTATAGGCGATTGCATCAGAAGCTAGGTATAAGCAAAACGCAAGTAAAAGTGATGTTAGCATAAAGTAACCGCTTCTTAAATTAACAACATCCACGTAAATGACACGACAGTGTAAACACCACACATTACCTTCTTGTGGATTCTAAATCGTGTCTTTCGCAGCTTGTTTTTGGGTTATCAGGCTTATTATTACTCTCTGTCAGACAGTTACTATTTCGTTTGGCTTGTCAACATTCCGGTGACTACTGAATGGACACATGACTCAGGACGCAATGGTTTTTGGGAAATTGTTACATTCAGGGAGAGAGGATTTTTTCGAATATGACATTTTCTATTCGACAGAGCAACGGGTCCATATACGTAAACCACATGGTTTTCTAAATTAATGAGAAAGCCATCATGTTTGTCCACAGTACCGTAATATGTATACATATTTTCCTATTTTACAGTTTGATTATAAACCGTATTCCTACAGCACTTAAAGGCAACACTAACAACCAATCAGATTCAGATTAGAAGTGGACCTGACACCACTACAGTACTTGTGATTCCAAGGTAGCCTGCGTTTGTCATATACGATGTTTGTCTTGAGTTGACAAATCAACTCAAGACAAATACTCAGTGTTATTAGCTAAATATTTAGTATTATTTGCTATTTTTCCGTGCGTCATTACCATCTATACCTGCTCTTTTGGTGCAATTATAAACAGAGTCACCAGGTTACAATAAGGTGAATAAGGTGAATGGCAAAACTGTTTTTTTTTTTTTTTTTTTTTTTTTTGTTTTTTGTATTTTTACCGGGCTAGTTTGTTGTTTACCGCATCTACCGTACAGTGCGTCATTTGTTTACATACGTAAAGCTAGCAGCCCTCTACTTTTACCCATGGTGCACCGGGTGAGAGATAAGCAATTTCGTCAAGTTTATGTTATAGGACTAAAAACCGGACACTCCTCTAGCTCATCTTCAAAATAATACTGCAAAACGTTAAGCGCTGTCATAGCTGTTTCCCCGCAATTTACATAGGTTACTTAATTTACTTTAACGTAAACTAATAGATGTACTTGCTATACACTAAGTTATTTTACAAATGTGCTGCGTTTATAGTTAAACAGGTTAATATACCATAGGTGTCAAAAACACAAGTAAAAGCAGTAAAACCCAACAAAAATATTGGGCATAATAATGCACAATGGTCCTGTGCATTATTATTGTTGCAAAAACAACAAAAATACCGATAAATATATAGAACGACAGATAAGTAGTTACAATTATAGTGTTTTTCTGGGGCTTCACTAAGGCTGAGAAAGAGTATGCCTACTTGTAGACTCTCTTTGGTCACAAAGTGTTCTCGACTGCTATCTTGATTCATTTAATTTACATTGTTTTATACATTTATAGTAATAAAGACTATCAGCTCTTGTTTTGAAGTAATCCTCACCGGAAGTCGACTTGTATTTTCTGGTGACCTGCTGTGCGAGTAGAGGTATATGGCGCAGCGAAAGTGACGAGGAATATTCTGCAAATTTGGATTATTACCAACGTGGATGTTTTTCGGGGATCATGCAAATACCCTGAAATGAGCGTGTGAGATGATATCACTTCCGAAAGTGTGGATAATAATCACTGGCCCATTGATGACCACGAGCAGTAGGGGTCGCAGGAATAGCTGCTGCTGTTGCATTCATAAACACTTGTTTAGGACTCACAACCACCCCTGAGCTTTGCCTGGGGTGACTAACTCAACACACACGTGTGGGTTAACAATGGCTGCAAGTGGTCAGTTGAACATAGATGATCTGGCTGGAGTGGTCAGGCTGCGAGAGGAACATAAGAAGGTAACAGTTGACACGCAACATTGAGCTGCCTAAATCTCACGTCCTCTTATTACAACACACGTACACGCAGCTCGTGTCCACGCGGCGATCAAAGGATCAAAAAAACTTACTTTGTGCAAGTGCTTTTTAAATAACAATCGACCTCCGTGTTTGTGCAGTATAACTGCCACAGGCTGCTGCGCTTTTTTTAAACACTGTTCTATGTTCGAGAAGCTTCCTCAATCACATGCTCAAGGTTTTGCCTAAGAGTTTCCCGAAGGCGGAGGGCACATGCCAGTTATTTGTAACTTATTTTATTGATGTTTGTTTTTGACCCAAAGGGGACAAGGGTACAGACTTAACGGCATTACGACCTAGCTAGGAGGTTAACCAACACACACAAAAAATTCATGACATCAACTCGTATTCTTCCCTTTAAATCTCTTTTCTGAACAAGCAAAACACAATGCTATACTATTAAAGAATCATAACAACTTAGTTGCGTTCTTTAAGTTTTTTCTTCTTCAAAGTTTTACTTTCGAATTGCACCCCACCCCGTCACTTCCTGTAATTCATTCTTCATTGGTCATTCTAGTTGACCAATCAAATGGTTTGATATTGAGCGTGTACGTATATTGGGGCTGAAATTAACCAGTGTTCATCTCTCCAGTTAATTTATTTATTTGGAAATAAATGATTAAAGGTTGGTCTAAATATTAAAACAGTCAAACAGGGATACGGGATGTTGCATATATATATCAGAGATTCTTTAGAAATGCAGTCAGCAGTCATCTCTACATTTAAATTAACATTTCTTACAATTATTTATCCTTAAAACAGGTGGTGAAAGACTGTGAAAGTCGAATATCAACCTGGTAAGTTCTGTGTCCTTTTTTTGGTAACCTGATACGGTGATTGTTTTATATCTGAGTACTTAAAAATAAATGAATTCCTTTTAGTTTAAAATAAATTTAATGCTTTCTATCCTCTTGTTTACCTGTTATTGTTTTTTCTTTGGAAAAGTGTGATTTGCCGTGGAAGTTTCTGGCTTGGACTCTGAGGCATTTGTTTTAATCATGCCCTGCACACTGATACATTAGTTTACAGTAATGAAAAGCCAGCTTGACCAAAGGCCATTATTTCCCTCTGAGAACGAAAACATCTCATTAAAGTCACTGGCACTTTGTTAGAACTCTCCTCAGGTTTAGATTGGGACAGAGTAATGGTGGTGGGAGTTACAGTATGTGATACAGTCATAAAATGTATATACAGTAGAGACCTGTGTTGTCACAGTAGTGTTATTTACATCTTTGTTTGAAATAGGTTCTTCCCTACCCTGTTAAGGGCTGTGTGGCAGGGAACCAATAACACTGTTAGAGAAACTAGACGGAAGCTGGTCATAATCAAACTGATTGGTTACACCGGCAATGATGGTCAATGTGCAAAGATCTCATTTACAGTTTATGAACCAAGTCCAGTTACCTTAATGGTCAACATGTATCGTCTTCACAGTAGCACCGTTCACCTCAGTAGCAACAGAGAAAAATGGGATACTAATAAAATCTCAGACTTTTGCTTAATTGTTTTCTGCCTTATTTCCCAAACACCAACCAATATTTACACTGCATGTGAGGAAGAAGGCTCTAAATAAGATCTGTTGTTATGGTCTTTACATAATTGTACCAATGCAGATCAGAAATAGAACAGCACCTTTAATAATTTATTTGGGAAAAAAAACCTTGTGAAAAAATATTGGCTTTTAATCATCAATGTGATATTTTTAGTCAATGTCCATATAAATAAATCGTCATATTGTTATATAATTTCAAACACTTCTTCATTCACTAACTGCTCTCACAAAAGTATTTAACTATATTTTAACATATACATTTAACATTCATTATACATTTAGATACAGAGCAGTGATATTCTGTCCTCTGTTTTTTGTTAGCCTTTCTAGCCACTTCCTCTCATGTGACTGATTAAAACATGTGGCTCACACTATCTCTTCCCTCTTCCCCAATCTGTCCAAAATAGAATTCTGAAAAGATAAGATGATCAAATAAAAGCCATCAACAGTCATTAGTAAAAAGAGACTTTGTGTCTTTGTAAATCCCTGACTCTGCAGGAAGAAACTGTCCGATGATTATGAAGCTCTCAATGAACGTCTCGAAACGCTGCCCGATCAACTGTCCTATGATGTCATGGTGAGTGAAAACCTTGTTCAAATCTACTTTTACATGTACTCTTTTTGCTGCATATTTAGGCTAATCTGACAACTAGATTTTTTCAAAGCAAACTAAAAAGTGGTGGTTGTTCACCTTCCTGTCAGACAAAACACTAGACTTTGTGGAAATGTAATTAAACTTTCAGATTTTTCACTTGGAAATCAAGAACTGCTTCTTGTAGAGAGAGACAGTTAGTTGTGGAATCAATGTCAACACTGTGGGACACCCTTGTAAGCTTAGAATGTCAAAATGATCAAAATGTCCTTGTCTCATATAAAAAGCACTTTTGGATTCACACTTGGGTGTTTATTATTATTATTATTATTCCGCTATAATACTTTGTTTGGATTCTCTTTCCTCCCTCCCCTGTGCTCTATGTAACCAGGTGCCGTTTGGTCCTTTGGCCTTTATGCCTGGGAAGCTGGTGCACACTAATGAGCTCACAGTATTGCTCGGAGACAACTGGTTTGCTAAGTGCTCTGCCAAGCAGGCCCAGAAAATCATCGGACACCGGATGGAACGTGAGTTTGTTTTCAAAAAGATTCGTTTCCGCCCTCTTCAGTGTACTGTTTACCATGCAGTAATAACCTCATCCACTAGAGGGCGACGTTGCATCACACTTGAACAATAGGGCGACACACTGCCGTACCATAATTTATCACGCCAGCGTCGTAGGAACTTTTGTTGTTATCTGTGCCGTATAGTCTGTAACTGCAGCGCTGAAGGATTGCGTGCTCTCTGACATGCTCGGCGCACTTTATTTCACAGGTTTTTAAGGATCAAGGTACATTTACATCACTCCTCCACTGTGTTACTTTGCATTTATGCATCACTGCTCAACACTGTCAGTGCCTCTGTTGTAAATCTTGCATTCATCACTATCACCTCACGAGAGCCTTTGAGGGGTGAATAAATTCAGACATGCCATAAGTGTCAGGATTTATGGCCCCCCTTTTTTCAGATTTCCCCCTGCTGTTCATTTTAGGTTTTGGAAATATCAAGTTAAATGGGCACAAGTAACGATCTTTGATGTGAACATTATTAGGGTGTTAAGCGAAGCAGAAATGTGCTTCCACAGCCGTCTCGCCCCTCCTGCACCTCATCCTCCCCTCCACCTCCTATCTCCTGACCCTGCCACCCCGCTATTACAGAGCTAAGTGCTGTAATACAAACATAGCTAGCTGAAATGTGTCAGACAGCGGCTGAGTTGTCAGGCCTTCTGTGTTTGACCTTTCCTCACTTCCAGTTGATGCACTGACTGGAGGGGCTCCCGATTGCCATGGAAACACGGGCCCTCTGCTGCTATTAGTAAAAGGGCTTAATTGTTGTGAAGATTTAATGATCCGTAGTAGTATTCAGGGCAGAAGATATTATCAACTGTTTGTGTCATCATTTTTCATCTTTTCCTCTACTTGTTTAGGATTTTAACTCTTTTGCAGCTGGGCGTCATTGTTATGTTAAATCTTTTATTGAAAACCCTTTTCCGCTCACAGCCAGTTCTTGCACAATGGCTGTTGTCTACATTCCGCTCTCTACATGTATTTTAATGCTAATGCTGGTAATTTTTTTTTCTTTCCACAGATGTAAAGGGTGAACTTGATGCTCTCTCCAAAACCCTTAAGAACTTTGAAGCCAGAGTTGGGTTTGCAAAAGATTTGGAATCAATCTCAGCAGTACGTCGCTCTGCCGTTAGACATGTCACAGGACATTCTGTTTGACTTTTAAAGAGTATTCATGTATTTTGTATCGTTCTTTAGAATCAAGGGGACTATGTTGACATCAGGGAAGACATGAAATGCAGTGACACTCCCACCACCAAAGGTATTTTTTTCTCCATTGCAGGGTAATGCTGCACTGACTGATTAACTTTTCAGTCACCTTTTATTTTTATTTTTTTATTTTTTTTAACAGTAAGGCAAAGAATAGCTCATAAACCCAATTCCAAGCCTAAGCTGGATGCCATACTGGATGTAAAAGAGGAAGATGAGGAGATTGATGAAGACGATACAGCTGAAGGAAGCAGGAAAGGAATCCTGAGTGAGGAGGAGCTGTGGGCTAGACTGGATGAACTTGAGAAACTGGAGAAGCTTGAAGAAGAGCAGGACAGGTACTTAGAAGGAACTGGGTACTCTGATTCACTTTCTTTACAAAATACTAATTTTTGTGTTTTTTTTTTGTTTTTTTTTGCCATTTTCTTTTCTCCTTTAGATTATCTGATAATCCAGACATAAATGGCGAGGACACGTCATCCTCTTCCTCGGAGGAAGAAAAGGAAGGAGAAGCTGTAAATGGAGTGAGTCTGAAGCCAAGCTGGTCCTCAGTGCCTAATAGCATAGCACTGCCTGTCATTGACCGGAAAGAGGAGGAAGACGAGGAGAAGGAGGGCGACTGTTTGCCTACCATTTTTTTCTCTCACACTGTTGAACCTAAAAAGGTCAGAGACGAGAGGAAATAATTTGCTTGGTTTATTCTGCGGTTTGTTTCCTCTGACTTATTTTTTCTGTCTTCTGCTCCAGGTGAGGATTAACACGGGAAAAAACACAACTCTGAAGTTCAGCGAGCGGAAAGAACAGAAGGAACACATTAAGAGGAAAAAGAAAAACGGCCACACTAACGGACACTCGCATCACGAACTTCACAAAATCACCACACCAGCAGACATCTACAGGTACGTGCAGCACTGTTCATACTAAATGTGCCGACACAAGGAGACGTTGTCATGACAATAACTGACAACAAAAATGTGATTGCTTGGCCTTTTAGAATACGGAATTAAATAAAACACATTAGTATATAGTGCCATACATTTTCATAAGGCGTTCCTGAGAGAACGTCTGTAGCGTGGTGTCTCTCCGAGTTTTGACATTAGGCCAAAGTCGGCTAACCAAACAGCCAACTGTCTTGTGCTTTCAGATCATTTGTGGACGTGAGGAATGGGGAACCTGTTCCCAGGAAGTCCATTCTGAAATCCCGGAGCCGGGAGAACAGCGTGTGCAGCGACACGAGTGAGAGCAGCACGGCGGACTTTGAAGAGCGGCGCGTGATGGGACGCAGCTTTAGCCACGACGAGGCGACTTACAGTGACACCAGTGATGGCATCACGGAGGAGGACAGTCCTACAACCATACCACTGCACCCACCCAGTAGATTTGAGGTAAAAGCTGGGGGTGGGAAACAGAGAAATGAATCTACACTTAACAATTAATTAGCAATTTCACCAGGGGGTAACATACTACGGGCCAACAATCATTTGGAAAACTCAGGATGGAAATTGTTCTATTTTGGTGTATTTTATCCTGTTAGCATGGGAATCTGAAAGACATTATATTGAAAAAAATTGAGTCTCTTTAAACTAAGAAAATCTAAATGAAAATTAATTAAATGAAGTATGAATTATTTTGCTGCGACCTGGTACCAAATGACCCACGGACCAGTACCGGTCTGGGAACTGGGGGTTGAGGACCCTTGCTCTACAGAACAAAATTGAATTTGACGTTGAACAGTGTAACGTGCATTGTCTCTTTCTCTTGCAGGCCTTTTCAGGTACAGTGATAGAAAAGGACCCCATGCCCTCAGCCGTTCCTCACCTGACCATCGCTCCTCCGGCTCTGCCCACCATACCAGAGAGGAAACAAGAGGAGGTGGCCACCGATGTGGCTTTGCCTCAGCAGATCCCAAAGAAGGTGTCGAAGTTTAAAGCTGCCAGACTTCAGCAGAAGTGACCTACGAAGAAAATGTACAAATCATCATTAATTTCTTCTTTTGTTTCCTGTGGTAGACAAACTTGTTTTCTCTCTATACCAGTTTTAGTTTCAGTCCTCCGACACACACTTCTGTGTGTGAAGAGGTTGTTGGTAATAACTGAACCCGGTGATAAGGTTTCCATCATTCTGTTAGCTCTAAGTGACACGGTTCTCTTTACTCACCTGCTACTACATTAAGGGACATTTTGGACGCTGTTGACTCTCTGTCTCTGTCCTACAGTGACCTGTCTACTCAGTTCATCTGTGCTACTGTACACTGGTTTATGTAACTCTAGGCTGCGATAGGTTGACCTGCCTTGTGTTTCTCTCTTTCTTAAGCGATTATCATAAAGACATTTTATCGCCCGTTGACCTACCTAATGAATGTACGTAGTCCTTTGTAATGAGCTTTATGTAATGACGAAATATTCAAAAAGGACATAAAAAGTTTTCTCTACAAAATGTTTCTTCTCCCTTTTTAAAAAATAAACGTTATTTGTTCATTACAAGGAAACTGACTAGAGTTATAATTATAACAACCATATCATTTACAGAAGAAAAAAATACAGAAAAATATACAAAATGTTTCTGATAGTTCATCGGGCTGTCCAATTTTTATGAACATTCTTGTGTGAACAGCAGATCTGTGCAACAGGCTGCCCAACAGGAGGCACCAAGTATGTGGTTCCTCTAGGAATCGAACACACAACTCTATATAGTGTAGCATTTAGCATGGAAGGCATGCTAAATGCAGTAATGACTAAAACCCACCAACTCAGAATAAAAAGTCTGAGTTATACATTTGACATTTACCTGCTGTTATCTGTGAAGTCTTCTGTAAAGATAGAAGACTAAATAAATCAACATTAATGTTATCTGATTATTCAATGGCAGCTCCTAAATATAAAAGCAACACGTCGCAACAACCTACCAATATGTTGCCTTCTATCCATCTGCTGCTGCAGTTTACTTTTAATACATGTAACTTGTAACTTCCTTTGTTTAAGTAACGGTAACATTTAAGTAGGAATACATTTAAACCAAGGAGGGAGAGACTGAGATGTTGGTCCCTGACGTTGGCATCTGATCAAACTCAAAACCCATAGAGTGCGGCTGGCGACAGGAAGGAAGTTCAATTCACAGTTTACACAGTTTGTAACCAGTTTCCACGGCTCATGTGCAGGAAATGAATCCCCACTACAGCCTACAAACATATGCTGTGCTATGAAAGTGGATCTGTGATGGTGATGAGACATGGTTGTGGAAACATCTGGATAAGGTGAACTGTCGGAGCTCTGAGGCAGCAGCGCAGTAACACCTTTCACATGTACCGACACACATCAAAACCTTACAAACACCACAAATTACAATATTCTAGTTCGGCAACAACGTTTCACCTTGTGACGAAACGATGCACAGTAAAACGACTTTTTTTTCTTCGCGACTTCCTGTTTAAATTTGGTAAAAAAGAAAGTGCCGTTGGAAAGCAGTGGGAATACCCAAACATAGTTTTGAAGTGATAAACACATTCCAAGGTGTTGACTTGAAGGAAGTAAGTCAAAATTGAAAGTATCAAAGTGTCATCACAACAATGACAAAAAAGCAACGAACTATGTAAAGTTCAAACATAACACTGATAAGTGTGACTTATACAAGTTGTTGGCATCGGTGGAAAAGTAAATTCCCCTTCCTAACTTATACAGTGGTACACATTTACATTTTTTTATGCAGCAAAATTTGAAGTATTTTGATCAAACATTTTTAAAATAACATTTATGTTAATTATTGTCATTTAATTTTCTAGTGCTTTATCTATTTAAGGGTTTTATCTCTATTTAAGAGCTGTGAGGCAGTGATTCACTCTAACTTTTACTGCAATGCAGATTACAAATCAGCACATTTTGTGCATGAATAAAATAAAAAAATAAAAAAATGTTATTACATTAAATTCACCTGCTGCAATCTCCCCCACCACTAAATAAGTCCACGCCCCCCACTTTGGGAACCACTGCTGTAAAGAAGGAGCACTAACCACACTGCCACTGTTTGACCCCTTGACATTGCAGTTTAGTACAGTGATCATCAACTGGCGGATCGCAGGCCGGATACGGCTCGCCAAACCATCCAATCCAGCCTGTCCAGAAAAAAATCTGACAAATGCAGTTGATGAGCCCTGGTTTAGAACACCTGACCAGACCAGATCCAACAGGTTTAAACAAGACTCTGATATACAGTATAAACAGAAAGGAAATAATCTCTCTGTGCTCGATCTGATGCGAGGGTTGGATTTAAAGACAATGATCAGCCTTGTGAATCTTTCTTAAAGATCTTCAAGGCTTATATGTGAAAAACAAAACAGAACCTTGAGACTCACCACCGTGGATTAACATCACTCCCTGACACGTCTGCATTTCTTGTAAAAACTCACAATGAATCACTTAAAAACGTCACATAAAAACTTCCAGCACTGTGGACTGAGCCCCCACCTCAGTGGCTGTAAAGTGGAATTACAGGGCCCAGCCAGTGGACGGAGACCATCGCCACTCTTTTAGTTAAACGGTTGAAGTGCACTTCTCTGATAATAAGCTTTTCAGCAGGTCCTCAGGTGACTCTGCCCTCCCTCCCCCACATCCTCCTTCCTCCTTCATCAGGATTATTTCTCCAATATGAAAATCCAGGTAGCATGATACAGATTAGGCAGTGCTTAACATGCTGGTGTTATGTTGGTGACACAGATCAATGGACTTATGTAGGTTAAGCTGAGGAGGTATATACTGGAACACAGCAGAAGTACATTTCAGAGATATCTAACATAAAACTATGTTACAAGCTCAAACACACACAGGGTCTCCATTTCAGGGATTAAGACGGATTTTAAGAGTTATGTGATGAATGACTCAAGCAGGTTTTGTCGTCCAGACAGGTTCTTAGAGCGGGAGTTCAAATATTACCACGGAGGCTAGGATATCTGCTCCGCAGTACTTTGACAACACTATATAAAGAGTCAAAACGTCTGGTATTTAAACACAACTTACCTTCGCGGCACGTGAGGCGAACTTGTTTCTGTTCCTCAGCCAGGCCACTAATGAAATTCAGGTGGAAGTCACAGGTGAGAAAACGTGCAGCTGATCCCTGGTGTTGTCACAGCACTGCAACTTGAGACCCACTGGTTCAACCAATCCACTCAAAGCAAGTCAGAGTTCAGTTAATTGGATATCTGTATGTTGGCGACGCAGATAAAATTAGACAAAGAAAAAGAAAAGAAACTTTTTCTGCATATATTATATATTATATATACAAAAACTTCTCATATATTCTTTTTTTCCTTTGAAACTACAAGAACTCTGTTGATATTAATGCATATGTTCATAGGCTAACTTATTTTATTAGCTCATCTACAACTACATCCGAGTGTACAGTTAAAAGGCAGGGACTCCCAACCCCCGGCCGAGAGACCAGTACCGGTCTGTAGGTCATATGGTACCGTTCCACAGTGGGACACAGTGGGAAATGTATTTAATTGTTTTTATCCATATCCTTCATTTATTTCTTCATTTAAAGAAAGTCTGGCAATAGTTGAAAAATAATATGTTGTTCAGACTGATAAGAGAATAAAATGTTTTATTTTGAATGTTTACTGATTGTCATTGATCCTTCAACAATTGGCGTGTCTATAAAATGGTTGTGGACCGCTGCTGTAAGGCACAAGTGTGACCAGCGCTTCCACCAAAAATAAACATCAAAAGTTAGGTCAAAATGGTCGAGAACACACTTTTTTTTCTAACCCCTAATATTGAGTTTTTGACGTACTGAAGCTACTTCTCAGCTTTATCCTCCAACCTCTGTGTTTTACTACAGGAATGATGTTTTTTTTTTACTTACACTTCCTCTCCTCTATCCTTCACTCCCACATTCATACCAATTGAGGGTTTATTTAACCTTATTTACACTCGGCCTGTTTAAACACTGCGGGAATAAATGGAGAACCTGCAGAAAACCCATGCACACGTGGAGAGAACGTTTAACTCCATTCAGAACGGCCTCATGTAATTCAAGGTTTAAAGTGAACCACCATTCAGAGAAGAGGACTTAGTCCAACTGTTAGTGAAGGGTTTTGTTCACATGACTTCATTTGTTTGGTAGGTTTTTTTTTCTTTGATTTTTTTTCTTTTTACGAATCTATTAGTTTTATTCTTTTTGGTTTAACTGCAAAATATTCTAGAAAACGTAATGTTTTCTGGTCTGTGCGGCTGTCAAAATTCTCTCTTCTCTGATCTAAACTAACGTATTTTGTTTATAATTTTGTTAACACTTGTTTTTCATATTTTGTAGAAAAGGTAACCTCAGCTCTATATACTCACTTGTTTGTAAGATTTAAATATGACAAATTGATCAAGAAATAAATAATGATTCACAAAATTTAAAAATGTCATTTTATAATGTAATCAGACGCTGCTGTAGTGTTAGCATTGGCGACTGCTATCTATCCAGTGCCCCATCTCCTGACCACAATAACCTGGGTTGCGTCACAAAGAGCACCGGCTCCAAAACTGTGCCAAATTACTATGGCTACGGATGAGGCGACCTCCCCCACCCCCCTCCACGCACCCTCCCCCGGTCCCCCATCCCATGAAGCACAAAGCAAAACAGACGAGGCATTCCGTAATAACACTATTCCTACTATTTGTTAATGACCAACAAAATAAATACGTGTCTAGACAAAATGATAATAAACTGGGAGTGAATTAAACACTCGTTGAGCATTGAAATACAGTATATTGTCATTTATCTTATGAAAGTAGATAAAGCATGGTTAAAGCTAATATTAGAAGTTCTTAAATTGACGAATACAAATGGAGTAAATAAGGCTGTGTCCTTACCATAAATGTAAAAGAGAGAACCTGTTGCTGTGCTTATGTTTTTTTTTTGTGTGTTATTTTTGTTTTGTTTTTTAAATCTGAGCTGACTTCTGGCTATGGAAAGTATTATTTTTATTTTATTTTTTTACTTAAAAAAACAAAACTAAAACCGCCCTTCTTCACTTCTGTTAAAGACAACAGTAAAGGTCAAACAGGCAACACTTCTTAATAAATCCAGGTAAAACGTTAACGATGACCCATCGTCACACTGTCATCATCTCTTTTTTTTAAAGTCATCGTTATCAACAGTTTGAGTTCACTACACAGAATCCAACACACGGTTAATCGCACATCCATCAGTCTGCGTCTAAAGACCTGTCGTCTCGCGTTAAAGGACCGACTACGAAGACCACGACGCTGTAACAGCTAAGCTTCTAAGCAACACCCTCACACTGAAGCGGTCAGACCTAATACAACAGAATCCATCACAGACTCGCGACCTCAGAGGAGGGATTGATGATGCGTCCTGGAGACGCCAGTGCACATTTTACGCACGGTGCCAGTCTGTTACACTTGCACACCAGCGGCCAGATGAGGGAGACATACGGCTTCAGGACGTGTCGAAGTATCCCGAATCATTAAAAAAAATC